TGTTCAATGGTTCGAGGAAGATATAATGAAGAAGCCATCCCTCAGCGAATACGGTTCTGCCGAGGTACAAGTTGTCGCACTAGTATCTTGCGAGTTAGTCTATATTCAGGATGCTATGAAGGCGTTCCACGAGGAGATAGTTGACTCTCTGTCTTTCCTATTCGAGCAGTGTGACGTTTTAGAGGCTGAGCTGCAGAGTTACAGGACTACACAGGTATCACGACGCTTTGGAGCGCACTCGCTGAATCGCGCTGCTATACAGGTCTCGATGAAGGAGAGGAGACAACTTGAATTTGAACATTTCATGCGGGTAATATGTTGATGATCGTATCTTACCGTGGTCAAGGCGTTCGTCAGATGATTGATGTCGGCGTGGTAGATCTGTCCGCGTCAAAGAAAATGTTTCGTAATGGCCTCTTGAAACTCGGTGACAACGCGCAGAGTATTGTGGAAGCTAGTCTGCAGTCGGAAGCACTCATGCATCAACTGGCGGGCCGGTGGGTTGGACGATATGTGAGAGTGAGCTCTTCTTATAGTTAGCTCATCCGTCAGACTACTCCTCTTGGAACTAGCCGAGTTATGCTGCCATGGCGTTGACAAGGAGACCTTGCATGACAGCCATGAGGTAGTGGAGCTTCTCGCGCTCAGGGAGTCACTTGTTCGTGCGCGATAGATACCTGAACCTTTGAGACCCGATACTTCGCGTTTGATCCAGTTTGCTCACGAGTTGATGGCCACGGCTGAGCTTGCTGCGATTGCTGTTGTTCTGCACCAATTCAAGTTATCGTCAAAACTCACGACCAATGTTGCAGTCATGACACGTATGTTCGAAAGACTCTGGAGGGTTATTGAGGCTAAGAGTGTAGCACTGTACGTGTCTTGGTTGGTCGATGTCTCTATCTCAAGGTTCTGGCAACGCTCCCTGAAAAGCAGCTTCCTGGGAGACAGGCCAATAGGGCTCCAGGGAAAAGTAGTTCGGAGTCGCAGCATGACGAGACGACCTCTGATGAGCTGCTGCACGAGATAATCACCGCAATGTCTGAGGTAGAAAGCTGTAACCATTGGACCGTAAAAGGCACTGATACCAGGTTGGATTGGACATCAGGACTGAGCTGATTGAGAATGGCAAGATTGACAGGATGATCGTTGCACTCAACGGGTGACTGAGGTTCATTTGCTCGTTTCCTGTGGAGTGTGGGCTTCGTCAGATGTCAGCGAGATATTGAGAAGCCGTCGACTCAACAAACTGCGGTTATACGACTGCTTTCCTCGAGGGTTCAGAAGTCGTTCGAAGCTGCACTCGAGAAAGCGGGTGAACCTTCGTCCCGTGTTTCCGGGCTACAGCAGCCTCGACGGCCAGTGGAAGTACTGAGGCTGCTACTGCATCGGATAGTGGTGGTGAAGGTAGAACGATGT